TCTGGACATTCACTATAACAGATTTTTTGCCTCATTTTACCACCACTCCACGTCTTTAATATTTGTTCATAAACTATCTATAGAAATTTCCCACCAAAGTTTTTCTTGTTTTCTAATATAACATGTGTGTTAATATTATACTTTTAACGTAAAAAATTGGCATAGCTAATAGCGAGAAAGTTTAAACAAATTAGTTTGGGGGTAGACATCTTACACCTGATAAAAAATTTGACATCTGTGACTTTTACAAAGGAACTTGCAGAACAATAGATGGTGTGAGACATTATAGAATGAGCCTGGTTGCACACACTGAGTACATTTAAGGCCCTGAACAGAAATGGCAAAAAGTAGTTGCCTCTAGGGAAAGGGACTCTGGGTGAGGAGAAGTAAAGCAGGAGACTGTTTTCATTTTAAGATCTCTTCTGTGCTGTTGTCATGTTTGTTATTATAATTACCATTTTGTTAAACATTTTAAATAAATTTAAATGTATAGTATGTATCAAGGAATGTCCAAGTCTCCTACATAAATTGATTACATTATAAATTATCCAAAATTTTAGAAGTGACTCGAAGGCTTAACATCTTAAATCGCATTCTGAGTTAATTATTTCAGTATAATTTAGTTTTATTATTTTACTGAATTCAAATTCACTGAAGACTGGTAATAATAAAAAATATATGTATACACACACATAGAAAGAGCATTATGTGTGTTAATATACTTGGAACACTCAATTCCTCAATCTTCCTTGAGATTCTGGATTTCCAGCACTGTCCAGCTCGTGCCATTTATTGTACTGTCTTTGCTATCACTGTCAATATTCAGTCAATATTCAAAGTACAGTTACAGACAGCTGATTTAAGAAAACTAAAAATGTGACCTAAAAAATAATAAAGTTTCTAGAGTTTCTTCTTCACCCAAGGTCTGTGCCACACTGGATTTTGGAAAACTTTACTGAACTATTTTAAACACTTTGATTTTTAAAAAAAATTTCAGGTTCCCCTCCCTTTACACCACCAATTCTGTAATTTTGCAATACTTTAAATTCCTTTCCTACACCAAAATAGTTTCTTGTTTCTATTATCTTCTCTTAAGAATCCTCCCTGGGACAACAATCTGACAGTGCATCTTTTAATGCTAAAAACTGTATTAAGGATACCAACCTCATCAAGGCAAATAATTATTTGCAATACAATACCAGTCAAATTCAGTACCAAAAGTATGTACCAAGAAAATCACTTAAATTTCGAGAGTGCAAATAAAGCAAAAATTAGAATGAATTGCAAATTCATTCATTTTTTAAGACTGATTTTTGAGGGAGACCAGGAAGTAAGAATCAAATGCAGTTCTCCTTTCGGAAGGGCCAGATACAAATGATGAAGCTTTCAGGACACACCTACATGCATTTCTGTCAAGTGAATGCTAGGCCTCCTGGTCCATGGTAAATCTACTCCTTTAGTAGTGAAGTAACCAAACTGTCCTAGCAATTGTGACCACTAGATTAGCAGGTATTTTATTTGGTTTCCAAAACCTCTCTGCTTCAAGTAGGTTTTAGCAAATTATCTTAAAAACAAAGACTAAACCCAGTAAATCTAAGTTCTGGAGCTTAAATGCACACGTTAAGTACAGTGCCTTAGTGTATATAATCAGGCTGAGACAGGAGTGAGCAAACGATGCTCCCTTGAGGGAAGGATCTCGAAAGATGCAGCAGAGAAGTCCTCCGTACTTTCGTTCGTGAGCGGAAGGTGGGGGAAATGGTGTTTCAAGTGCAGAATACAATCACTAATCGGGCGGGAGGGTGCTGACCAGGAAGTGGGGAGCAGCAACAGCAGCGTTGGCATTAATGCATCCCTCGATTCCCGCAGCTGCGGTCGGGGATGGGCCGCCGGCGAAGCGGGAAGTGCAGGTGGGGCTGGGGTCAGTCCCCCGCGTCGCCGCCGCCGGCTCCAGGCCTCCTCCAGCGAGGCGGAGAGGCGCGACCCGCGGGATGGGCCCACGCGCCTGCATCCCGCTCCCCGCCCCCGCACCTACCGTGGAACTCGAAGTGGCCGATGCTCTGGCCCTCAGCGTCTCGGGCCGCGGCGCTGCTGAAGCTGCCCCGCAGGGTCTTACCCTGGCTGCCCGGCGGCCACCAGCAGCAGGTGAGGGCCACCGCCAGCAGCCGCAGGGCCCCCATCCCCCTCCTTCCCTCCCGGCACCCACACCCCGGCCCTAACGGCCTGCTGCCGCCCTCCCCGCGTCGGCAGCCGGGGCTGTGGGAGGAGGGAGCAGGACCGGCGTCCCGGATCCGCCCCCGGGAGACTGACAACCTATGTGGCAGGCCCCTCCGCCACGAGCCCAGTACACCCACCAATCAGAGGCTGAAATGGGCGGGACGTGCGGAGGCGCGCGTCCCATCACTCCCCAGCCTGCTGGCTAGTTCCCGCCTTTTTTATGGAGACTCAGAAGGATGTTGCTTTAGGTTACGGAAAAAGCCTTGCCCTCCGTCGGCCCCGTGCGTGGTGCTACTGCGCATGCGTGGGGTCGCCCGCACGGCTCCCGAGGGCTTTCCGGGGTGGGGTTTGTAGGATTCAGGAAGAACTGAGGATCGCAGGATGGCCCCGGTTCTGATGAAGAAAGGAAAGCTCCCGCAAAGCCCGAGGTGCCTATGCAACCTACTGAACGTTTCTGCTTTACTGTCTCAAAGACACCTAACTGTACATGTACAAGTTTAACGCATGAATTCTCTTGGCACGTCTAACCGATTTTAACCTCTTAGGTTCCCTGTGTTCTTGAGTTTTATCGTCAGACAGCTGGGAAGTATAGCTTACATCCGTACATACAATCATCTCAATGATTCTGGGCGGCGATGGTAGGAAGGAGTTGTCAATGTCGATATCCAGACCATTATGGTATGATCTTACTTGGCCTGTGGCAAGTAACTTGCCACCAGTCTTAATTTTCTCCAGTTGGCCACACACAGCCCACCTCTACCCTAGAGCCACAGAAAGCTATGGGGAACGAAATTTGACTGCATCACTTCCTTCAAAGGTTTTTGATCGCCTGTAGTACACAAGCAAAACTCTTTAGAATATAGCTTTCAAGTCTCTCAAATTTCCATCTCGACTTTTTGGCTCCATCCTTACCGAGCCACGGTCAGTGCGCTGAACACTCCCAAGTTCTCCTCTCTGAGCCTGTAGCCCTTGCAGATCCATTGTATTTAAGAAGTGAGACTATTACTAGATTGTATGCAGTTTTTCATTATTACATATAAGCAGTGTATTGGTGAACATATTTGTGTTTTTCTGCAATTATCTATATTATACATCATGGAATTTGGGAATCATAGGTTATGTGCATTTGACCTTTTCCTATATGTTACCATTTTGCCCCTGAAAAAGGTTGTAACAAATGACATTTCCACATATACTGGGTATTCTCAGTCTTCTTATACTTTGCCAAACATTATATGAAAAAAGAAAAAAAAAAACCCAAGGTATTTATTTATCCATTCAACATTAACTGATCATTTATTCTGTGCCAGGCCTGGTCCCACGGCCTTGGGATTATAGCAGGAAACAAAACAAAGCCCCTGCCCTCCCTAGCCAGTACTAATGAGTAGTTCAACATAAATGTTGATGACTGCTATGGAGAAAAAAGAAGGATAAAGTTGTTAGGCTGGGCTGGGGTAGAGCTTGCTATTTCAATTGGGGTGGTCAAGGAAGGACTCTCTACAAGGGTGACCTTCAATCTGAGAACTGAAGAAGTAAGGGTAGGGGCGTCTGGGTGGCTCAGTCGTTAAGCATTTGCCTTCGGCTCAGGTCATGATCCCAGGCTCCTGGGATGGAAGCCCACATCGGGCTCTCTGCTCTCTCTCCCACTCCTCCCCGCTTGTGTTCCCTCTCTCACCGTCTCTCTCTCTGTCAAATAAATAAATAAATAAAATCTTGGGGAAAAAAAAGAAGTAAGGGTGAAAACTAGGCAGACATCTGGGGAAAGGGCATCCAGGCAAATTCAAGGAGATACAAGGAGTGGCAGGCAAGCTGGGGCACAGTGAGTATGAGCGAGAATAGTTAAGGGTAGGCTCTAGGGACATCTTCACCATGATTGCCAGCAGCATGCATTGTCGGTAATAATATTAACAACAAAGGAGAAGGCATTTTGCAATTGCAACCTCCCATTTCCACACTTTGCAAGCAGAGAACTTCTGGAGTTAGCTCAACTGGTGAGTAATCTGTGGAGATGCTTTAGCAGTACAAGAATGAAAAGAAGGTAATCATTCATAACTCTGACCATCTGCGTATTAAGTAAAGCCCGATTTTATACTGGTGTCACTTGACACGAAAACGTTCCAGACCCCACTTCCCAGCCACCCCAATTACGCCTAGCGGGCCAGGTTTGGGCAGAGAAGAGATGCGCCTGCGCAGTAGCGCTGCGCCACCCGCGCACCCAAGGGCCCCGCCCAGCCCGCAAGTGGGCGGGGATAAGTCGGCCGGGCTCCGGAAGCTGCTGCCGCCTGCCCTACTGACGTGTCGGGGCAGCGGGACGCGTCGCGAAAAGTCGCGGTGGAACTTACCTGCGGTGTACAGATCTGGCGCTTTACGCTGCCAGGCACTGCTGAGCTGGGAGATGTCAGCTGCAGTCCGGACGGAGCCTTTGGGTCCTCCCAGCAGCTTTGCGAAGCGGCTCCTGGTGACCGGGGGTGCTGGTTTCATGTAGGTAACGGCGCCGCTGGCCGAGTAGTGGCTCCCCAGAAACCCCAACCTTTTCCTGAGCCTCTGCTTGCTCTTGGCAACTTGGAACCAGCTTGGGGGGGGGGG